GGAAAAAATGTTAGCCAACTGGTATACCTACTCTTAAATTTTCTAGTTGAATTTAGACAGAGTTAACTGAGAAGTAAAAAAAACTTGCCATAAATGGAGACAGTTCCCAATTTTCACTCTTCTTTCAAGTTGAATTATTATATCAGTGGAAAGACAGTTTGAAAGCTGGGGCAAATTTCACAAAAAAACTAAGATTGTGAGCAGAGTCTCTATCTTATCTGTGACCACTATTCCCTTCTGGATTCACAGATCACTAAGATGAATATTGGCTTCATCTCCTTCTATTCCTAGTAGCTTAAAAACATGGCTTTTTAGACAGGCATTTGACCTTGTGTAAATTATGGTCAGATTGAGAACTCGGCTATTGTCTTCACTCCAGGACTTTGGTTTGTTAATTGTAGATAGCCAGTTTTATTCACAGATTCTACTGTGTTTTATGAAATTTACAATTTTATCAGATGAGGTTTTATGTGTGTTCGTTTTTTTAGACTTATATTTTTGTTTAATAAGCTCATGTATCATTGTTTTATGTGTGGCACTTCAAAGTGCTTTTGTGAGCTGCCCTAAGTCCCTTCAGGTAGATGATGGTGGGGTACAAATAAAATTATTATTATCATCATCTACCAGTTTTGGAGCTCCAAACCAGCTATTTGCTGCAAATTCCTTGCTTCCCACATTGACACAAAGTAAGAGAGAACTTTTGATTCTAGACCACGCCCTCAAAGTGATAAATTTCATGTTTATACTTTGATAGGGAACACTCAATCTGTAAGTTTTTCGTAGGCAGTGAAGAACAGCCATATACATGTACCCTGTTCCTTGACAATGAGTATTTGTAGACTGAGGCATTAATCCAACCCTGCTGTTAGAGAACTATGACAAAGCAATGCAGACTCCTTCTGAAATCCAGCCAAAAAAATAGTGTATCCAGAAGTTCAAGAAAGGTTCATAGTTAGCACACAGTGATATTGATGGCTGCAATATTAAATCTTTGTTGCCAGGAGCAAAGTCTGGTTCAGCATGGTGCCATTAATCTGTTTTGTAACAGGATGATTATTCAAGCAGGAAACTCTGGTTAGTTGCCCCACAGTTGTCATTTTGGATAAGGATCAAATAGAACAGTTAAAACAGCCCAACAACACATGCTAAGTCAGCACACTGCCTTTACTGCAGTTCTCTTCTGTAACAGGGAGGAAACATCTCCAAAACAGCAGCAAAAACTGATGTACAAAAGTCATACTGAGATTATGCTGCAGAAGTTCTGCTACAACATACCCAAGCCGCTTTGAGTGCCCCTAGGGGTGAGAAAAGCGGTATAGAAATACTGTAAATAAATAAATAAATAAACTAGCCTCAGAAGGTGCTGCTTTTGCAAGATGCAAGCTATTCAGTTACACATAAAGTGAAATGTTAAGGACAGTAAGTATGCCACACCTAAAATCAAACTAGAGAGCCAGCATGTTATAGTGTTTTGAGCACTGGAATATTACAATAAAAATGTAACATGATTTTTGTTCCTGGGTTACAATTGTAATTTCCTAATTGCTTCTATTATAAAAACATGGGGAAAGTTTATTAAACTGCAAAAACTTGGCTTTTGTGGGACAACCTGCAGCACATTTTGCTAGTTTTTCAATGAATATCTCATCTGAGTCTCAAACAATTCAACATAGTTTGTGGCAACTACAAAAACAAAGTTTCTGGAATATAGCAACTACTTTTAATGTAAATACCACACAACTAAACAAGAATAACACTTTCAAGCCAGGAACAGAAACATTTTCAAATTTTGTTACACAGTGTTATCAATGTTGCAGTCTACATGCATTCATGGAAATCCTTGGGCTCATCACAATGATTCAGACTAAGAGGAAGGAAATGACAGATCTCTTTGGAAAAAATGTTGTTGGAAAACCCTGATACGATTGCCATATGTCAAACTGTACTTGAACAACAGCAGCAAAAATTCACATTCTGGATGAGAACCTTTCAAGTTCTCATACATATCAAGTGGCTGATACGGGATAATTTTTAAAACTCCTGCCTGTTTACTTGTAGTGCTGTAATGCACGTATTGAGTAATGCAATTCGCCAAACTTTTTTCCAGTTATCACATCAGACTGCTTCCCTTGCCATGAAGAGACCATGATTGCTAATGGAAAATAAAAGAGGCTTCCCTTCAAAAGCAAGCAAAATGCCATCAGGAGCATCCTACCTGTAATTGTTATATTCACGTTCCTTCAATTGGTCAATATGCCTCTTCTTTAGAAGCAACTTTTGTTTTTCCACAATCAGAAGTGGGCGGCAAATCCTGCCAGCATCAGTATAAATGCGAATTTCTCGCTCCCGGATATCCCTGATCATGGACACCTATATAAGTAAAGCAGAAGGCATTTAACATACAAGTTTTCATTTGTAAATGCATTCATTTCAAACAAACCAAAACCAATCTGATCAACAATACTTGTATCAAGCAGTGTTTATACACTAATTATTTTTTATGTAGTGCCTTCCATCTTGTAGAACAACCCAATATATACCTCTGACACAATGATGTCCATCTGACGACGCAATTTCCTCAGCGTATTCATAAGCTGTTCTGGGTCTTTGTGGATTCCAACCCAACATCCATTTACAAAGATCTTTGTAGCACTAAAGACAAGAAAAAGCTATATGAGAAGGCTGCCCTTAAACTGAGCTACATGGAGCTTCCTGAGATTCAACTGCCTTTTATACTTACTCTGCAATGGCTGCTGGAGAGATTTCTTCCAGGTTTTCCATGCTCCATTCTTCTAAAAATTCCAGAATTGGAGATGGCTGGGATCCCACAGAAATATAGGCCATGAGAGCAAGATTCTTCACAAGTCCCACAGCATGACCCTAGGAAAAGACGCCATTTCTTGTAATTCAATCATCTCCATATCCATACGACATAAACATTTTGATAATCATTTCAAATCAGAAGGTGTTTAGAGCAAGACTTTCCCATCTATACCTGTTGTGCCTCTGCAAGCTTTCTCGTTGTTTACTCCTGTTAAGCCCCTATTTAGCTAGAAGAGATTAGTATTCTGTGTATAGTTTGTGGGGTTAGTCTAGATAACCTCTTCCTCCTTGTGTTTGAAACTTCCCTCGTCCTTTTACTTTAAGACACATCTCAGGGGCAGAGCCTCAGCCCAGACCCTTCTGGCTCCTTGAAGAGTCAGGCAATGTGGTATTGGAAGGTGAAGAGTAAGGAAGGTGGAAGAACTACAAAACAGAACATCCTGTTGAGGCTACGCAAATCAGTCACGTCAAAACTATACATCGTTACATCAAAGCTATATAAAAGTAAAGACACAAAGGATATACAGACTGAAATCCATCTGAAGTCACATTAAAGTATAATCCAGTCAGAACTGTAGTTGTGTTTCAAGGATTTTAACTCCCCTCACATAGACTGGTAGTAGAACTCTTTGAGGACAGGAAGACTGAGATCTGTTATTTAACAAATTGCTGTTTTTACTTCAAATACGTAGCATACAATCCATTCATTGCATCAAAGACACCTTCCAAATAAAGAGCTAGTGCGGGGGCAGAACAGTACCTTATTTATCAAATTCAATTTACATTTTAAAAAAAGGATCAACTAACCATAGTGAAAAAATGGCAGTATATGGAAGTTCCACAATACGCAATGGATATCTTGAGCAATGAGCAATCTATTTGCCTCCAAGGAAATGGGAAATTGATGCTTCTGTTCAGTGTTTTGTCTTATATCTGATATAACAGGCTTTTTAATTTAATTTTAGTTGTTAAGGCATAATTTGTTTTTATATTTTGGGTTGTCAAATTTTGTTACTATGGATGTATTGCTGTTGTGTTCGGGAATTGAATGTTTGCCTTTTATGTTTGGAATCTGCCCTGAGTCCTTCTGAGCAGAAAGGGAGGAATATATTTTTTAAATTATTTTACTGACACAAAAACACAGTATGTCACGGCAAACAAAATATATACGCGTGATTTCGTATCACAAAATCACAAGTCAAACACTTCCCAAGCATCTAGGACTGTGTGATGTAAAGTTTTTATTATTATTATTACTATTATTATTATTATTATTATTATTATTATTATTTGAAAGTTTGAATTCTGCTCAGTTATGTATTCTGCTCAGAAAGCAAGTGCCTTGCCTACTGGACCTCACTGTCACCCCTCTTAAGGGAGATTTATCCTAAAACTTGCTTAGCATTCTATTTAGAAATGTAAGAGAAGACTAATATGGCAGGCAAGGTTTTAATATTTTTCTGTTACTGAAGAACCTCAACTTCTGAGAAGCCTGAGGGTTTGATCTAAAAAATAAAGGTTTTTTCAGATAATCAAGTTTCATTACAAAGCCTAAAAATAAAACTGTCACTGCAGAGAAAAATATACAGATGGGTACACAGAGTCATATACACACATTATACACTTATTTTTGATCTAATCTGTTCATTACCTCTGGAGTTTCAGCAGGACAGATCATTCCCCACAATGTGTTGTGCAATTGCCTGGGCTTTGCTAATTTACCATCTCTGCCAATAGGGGAATTCAAACGACGCAAGTGGGAAAGCGTAGATGCAAAGGTGAGTCGGTTCAAGACCTTCAAAAGGAATGCAACCAAGAAAAGATTTAGGTGTAAACATAAGACACATAGTCTAGATCTTGACGAAGTAAAAAAAAAACTACCTTCCTATAACAAGACTTATTGTTGTTAGGATTCAACCCAACACTGTCCAAGTCTCAAGTCCTCAATGAGGAACAGTTAGTTAGCTTAGAATAAGCTGAGGGTTTCCCTTCCCCCATGTCTCCTGTGTGACAGTTGGAATGTATTAATTTCTTCTCTCCTCTCTGTTTCTGCTCTCATTCTGATTGGTTGTGTAAAATGGATACCTTTTCCACTACAAGCCTTTACTTCTGAATGGCATTTTTAACATTTTTGAATGTGTTGTGTGTTTTGATATCTCTCTCTTGCTCTGCGTGTCAGGAGAGATGTAGTGCTTGGGTGTTTTTTCCCTTTCTTGAAACCTTAGAAGAGATGGGTTATAGAGTAGCTCAGACCCAGTTCTACAACTGTTAAGAAATGTAGTTAGTTCATATTATTGTAAATAAACCTTTTGTGATTTTTTTAAAGATTGGACTCTGCATCTTTGCCTGCCCAAGCTCTAAATTCATTACAGCCACAACCAACGGCACTTCACACTCTGCTTGCTGTGAACTGATTGCTCAACTTTTAATATTCTGTTTGTATGTTGGATGCTCTGCTATATTTTTGGGTAATTTTCCCTAACAATTGTGCAGTGATTGCATATTAATTTGAAGCATTTATCATATAAAACATAAGTACTACAGTATAGATGATGAATAGAAATCACTTCAAAGGCAGTGAATGAGCAAAAGGCATCTGATAGCAAATATGGACTCAGATGCATATTTGGATAAGTGTTCCATTTCAAACGGATAGTGAAGAATAAGAAGGATGGTGATGCTACCAACGAGAAGGGCAGAAATGCTAAGATCATTAGAAGAGAAGTTCAAGTAAACAGAACAAAGTAAAGGATGGATGGAGAAGGGAAAGAGGTGACTGAGGCAGCAATTCACGCAGAAGAAGAACTTACAAGACTTTTGAAAACAGAATGGGTTATTTATCTTGCAGAAAGGCAAGCAGAATCTGGTAGGCATATAAAATACATTTTCACGCAATGATTTCAGCTAACAAACCTAATGGTTGTGTGTCACTTAACAAAATTCCAGAGAAACAACAGAAACATAATCTTTTCAAATAAAAAATAGACTGGAAGAAACCTTACTTGAGATACTCCAGCTCTGGCCTGATGAGCTTTCTTCTGGTCTCCCCAGTTCCCTGTAGCCAAGGAGTATTTCAGCCCGTCTGATATAATTCTGGTTTTAATTGCTAGCTCCAAGTTAAAATCTTTCCCTCTGTCAATAAACTTCTGTGCATATATTCTAACTTCCTTCAGCAAGTTCTTAAACATTCTGTTGAAGAAATCAGAAAAATGCATTACTAACATGCATTGCAACACATGAATGCAACAATAAGCACCCATTGACATTCCTTAGCAACGAGAACCATAAAGCCTAACACTGGACTTAATATTTAGTCATTTAGTTAAATCCTGCATTTCCCATATAGTACCCAAGGCATCTTACATTACACATACATGGGCCGGGCTGATAGCACAACTGGTTAATCAGGTGCAATACATCACTGCCGACCGAAAGGTGGCAAGTTTGAAGCCTGAGTTGGGGTTGAGCGCCTGACTGTTAATAGCTGTTTAAAAAATAGCTGTTAAAAAATATTGCCCAGATCACTGTCGACCTAAGCAGTTCAAAACAGCTATGAGTAGAGAAATTAAAGACCGCTTAAAATGGGGAGGCTAATTTATGACACCATAAAAATACCGGAGAGAAAGGAGGAAATGCTACGATCAAAAAGGCTCGGCGTCATAGTGGACGAAGTGACAGCTCCCCCTGTGGCCAAATCAAGCAACCTCCAGGATCCGGTGGAAGAACTGCTGAATGGCCTCTATTTGTCTGTATGTCTTGTATGTCAAAAAAACCCAGCACTGAACATTTACCGTGTATATGTGTATTGTGATCCGCCCTGAGTCCCCTTTGGGGTGAGAAGGTCAGAATATAAATACTGTAAATAAATAAATACAATACAATATAGCTAAGGTTGCCGTCGCTTCCCTTCGACTCATCCTCCCTCCCCGAGTGTTCTGGCTCAGGAGGCTCCCCGCTGCTGCCTTGGCACCCCTTTAATGACGACATTAAGTCTCGTCATGTCCGACTCTGGGGAGTAGTGCTCATCTCTATTTCTAAGCTGAAAAGCCAGTGTTGTCCACAGATGTCTCCTAGGTCATGTGGCCAGCATGACTGAACAGAGCACTGTTACCGTCCCGCAGAAATGATACCTATTGATCTACTCACATTTGCAGTTTTTCAAACTGCTAGCATTTTGTATGATCCACTTAAAACATTAAAACAGATAAAGCACATCAAAACTTATTATGCCGTAAGCATCAGCATAACGGTTATTGTGAGTAACACGATCACCATGACTAATAGTTATTGACAAAATTATTGTTCATTAATTTGTCTAATTCTTTTAAAAAGATAAGTGGCCAATTGAAAACATTACCTTGTTTTAGATAATGTGTGAGAATAATAATTTTATTTAATTTATCCTGAACTTCCTACAATTTGTCTCAGTTGATGACTCCAGTTTTAGTATTATTGTATCTTGTGTCTAATATTGCAGTTATCAATTTTATTTAAACTCTCTGTCTCTCACCCAAAACTGGGACTCAAAGAACAGTGGGAAAATACTTCCTGTCATTTGCTTTCTACAAACCAGGGTTCAAAGCCAAATTTTACTCGCCCTCCCTACAATTGTAGGCAGAATCATATTTTTAGCTGAAAATGCAAACCGGATATGACTGGAAACCATTTCCAACATTCTTGGGCTTTGCAGGCAGTGTTTATGGTTTGGGAGAATTGGCAAGATGTCATATTTGGGGCAAATTTGGAACAATTTTCACCCAATATTGTAAAAATAAACTGGTGAATAAGAGCTGCAAAAAAGACCTTTTGGGTCACACTTGGTCCATGGGAAACACTTTCTTCACTCCTGATTTACACAATGCATAGTTTTATGACAGCCAAACTACAAATTAATGTGGGGGGAAAGCTGCTTAATGAGGCCTTGGCCAAAGTCGCAGATTGCTCTGAATTCTGAATTTAGTCCAACTGAAAGGGAGCTGTCCAATGAAAGGTGTAGGATATATACCTTCCTCTCAACCTTTTCCAATACCATATCCCAGGATCCAAGCCAGTACTGGCCAAGATTAGGAAACAACAGCACTTCCTACACTCACCCTCTGAACAAGAAAGCAAGTAATGGCCCTGCAAGATCCAGTCGTTTGTTGCCGTAGTGATCTCTGTCATCCAGCTCCCTTCTCCCCAAAGCTGCCAGCAATAACCTATGAACCATGTACCTGAAAGAGAGAAAGATTAAAGCTTTAAGGTAGTCAAGAGAAGTCTTTCACAAATTTCTGCCACTTCAAAGATGGAGAAAAAAGTTGAAAGACATCTTGCTTATCTGCAATAAAGCATTCAGTTGTTTTATCTATCAAATTACCCTTGGCTGAACACCAAATGAAATTGTAAATACATTTTGTTTTACATGACATCATTTAGAGCAGGTTTTTTTAAAAAAAAAATCAAACAATACATTATATGGATAAATTGTGTGGCTTGTGTTATGCTTGTAAAAGAAACAGTTTCCATGTGTGACGATATTGCTTATTTTGACATACCCAAGAAAATAAGCCTTTTTGGTTTCACAGAAGTCACTGACACCAACATGTGGAAGCATCTCTTTCTGCAAAACTTCTTTTGCATACTTGATCCTTTTCTCTTTGGTGACACCAGGCTTTGCGCCTCTTGAACCAATGAAATTCAGGGCAACATTCTGTTCCTGGATGACGAATGCCTCATCTAAAGAAGGTTTAACCTGATACACACAGAAAGAAAAAATGGTATTATCAGCCTAAGCTTCCTGAAATATATATCAGTTAAATACAACAAATATTATGTTCATAAAAGTGGTCCATAAAATTTAAATTATTTGCAATCAACTTTGTACTTTAGCTTTCATAATATTAGAGAATTGTATTTCCAAAACACACACTACTCTGTGTCAAAAATCAGTAGATAAAATTGAGATGTTTTAACTTTTTGGTTTTAATGTATATGTTTTGTTTTGTTCTTTGTATGTATATGCGGCATCAAATTTTGCCTTTTTTGTGAGCCACTCTGAGTACCCTTCGGAGTGAGAAGGGTGGGGTATTAATACAGTAAATAAATAGTAATAAATAGATAAAATCAATAAATATTACCATTTCCATCATCTCAGGATCTTCAAAGTCATAAATTATATGCTCCAAGATGTCTCTGTCAGAGACAAACCCTAAGGCACGAAAGACAATAATGATGGGGACTTCCTGTTTGATGTACGGCAACGTTGCTACAATGCGCTGCCCTATGGCACTCTTCTTTGCACCCTAAGGATAACAACAGACACATNAGACACATGGTCAGCACATTTCCATTCAAACGCCATAAATTAATGTATTAATATCAAATATATTGTTAAGTCAAGCAAATATGAAACCCCATACACTATAACACGTTATCTTCCCCACTTTGACATACATCAGGACAAGCAATTAAATATTACTAAATTACACTGCATCTATATCTCTTCCAATTAATCAATCAGAACAATGAGAAAATGACAAGTATGAAACCAACATGGAGTCTTGACAGGGACTCCCTCAACTTCCTCAGAAGTAGGAGAGAGGCCATCCTGCTCAGTTGTACAAAACATGGTTTGGAACCATTGAACATCCACACTATGGGTGTACACCCCCCTCTCCCCGCCCCCTGTATCACTGCTATCCTGCAGCCTGGGGATACAGGATGGCAAGCCCTTGTCATTCCACCCCCAGCCTCATCTTGCCATCAATGCTCCAACTCACATCAACCAAAGTGCAGCTGCTCTAAAGGAGCTGTGGGAAAGGAAAGTACCCCCTTCTTCCCATCATTCTTGGCACAGCAGTACTCTGCCTGATGTCAACCAGAATACCAGGAAGCGGGCAGATGGTGTGTTGTGGCTGGAGACACCACAAAGAGGGGTCAGTAAAACAGTAAATTGCCATCCGATGTTCCCAGGCTGCAGGACATCACTGTAGACAGTTGTGTCCAGTTCCGCTTAGGAACCACCCAACTGTCTTCACTGCCCTTAAGTTGGGGGAAAAACCTAAATCCTGGGGCTTTGCTCCAACTTAGCTTAACCTACAATAAGGCCCATATTAAGGCAGCGTTGCTCCGGGGAGACCTGAATCAGCCACATGTGATATTTAGCTGCCACAGAGCTGATCTGGCTAGACAGTGGTCACTGTAGATCAGGCTTGGGCAAAGTTTGGCTCTTCANAGAGCCAAAGACTGCCCATGCCTGGTATAGACATCAGTCAAACTCACAATTTGAAGGCTAGAGGCTCCTAGATTAGAAGCCTCTAGCCTAATCTAGGAGCCTCTAGATCATTCTGCAGGGTGATCAAAATAACTCTTTGCCTATTGTCCTTCTGCAAGCAAGCAAACACTTTTGCACCAAAGACCATGTGTAAATGGATGTCTGAACTCTTTAGTGTATTAATATATTTTTAAGTGTTTTACCAACTATTTTAAAGAATAATTTAAATTTATAATTCATACTTATTAGATATTTTAGAGGCATGCATCCAAACTTAGGTCAAAAGGCAGGATACAAGTAAAATAAAAATAAACAAAGTTGAAGTCTTAAGAATGTGGCATAGCTTAAGGTAAGGGGGGAAAAACATGATAATCCAGATTGTTTATATTTTCAAAGTCCTCCTAAGAATTAAGAAATTTGTCCAATTAATTTTTAGTGGCTCAACTCAAGGCAATTTTAAAACTTATACAACATGGAGAGTAATGAGTATTTTAAAATATTTCAATTTAGGATAATTGTAATCGCCACCCCTTTACCGACTCAAGCAGTTTCATAAAAATACAAATATTTAAAATCACACACTTGAAGTTTAGAATATTTGCTAATCTTTTTCATGGGTTATCTGTTTAGAACTGAACACCCTCTTATCCCATATACATTTCCATTAACTGATGTTTTATTTAAAATTCTTACCTGCCCACCTCTAGCCAACATGCTAACCCATATCGTACTTGTGGGCCGAGAAGAATTCTCCAGGCAGGAACGGCATTCTCCTGTGTACGCATATTTAGAATCCTTCTTTGCAAACACATATACTGTGTTGGTAGCCATTTTCTCCTGAGCAATCAGAACCTGTTCAGAGAATGCAAACGAGGCTAAAGAAACTATTGTCAAGTTAGTGGTCATAACTTTAGACACGTTTAGGATCTTGGCTTCGGAAGCAGGGATGAGAATCAGGCAGCTCACCCAAAGATGCTAGACTGTGACTGCCAGCATACCTCACCCCTGACTATGTTGCCTAAGATTGCTGGAAATTGCAGTTCAACAACAACAACAACAGGGCATTTGCCATCCCATTCCAATATATAGTGGAGATACCATCATCTGAATCGGAAACTAGAATAAATAGTTTTGAACAGGATATAGGGCATGTCTTGGCTCAAGGTTTTGTTTTGTTTTTTTAATGTTACAATCCAAATGCCCTTTCAGGAAACATAGAGATCACTTAATGTCTTAAACAAAATCACTCTTTCAGCTTAAACTCCTTCCCTTGTTTGTTCTAAGTAGGAAATGTAATTGAAAGACCCAACTCATGTTCTCTTAATATGCTCAGCATTCTAGAGCACTGAGTGGTGATAACTACTTTATATA